GAGCTTTTGGTTTCACTTAAGAGACTGAAGTCCTTTATTGCGATTCTCTATCTATATGGAATAGTAGCACGCGAACAGCTGTACAATATGACACTTGTTGGTGTCTTTTAATCACGTTCAAAACACTTCTCTTTTAAGCAATTTTTTAAAGATACTTATAGTTAACTCCAGAATAATTTGTATTATTGCATGTTTTAAGAATTTGTCATTTCAAATGGGGAAATAGAATCAAGATATACTAGATATCTCTCTATAGAATGAGAACGACTGACATCATAATTCATTATAATATTATCATTATAGAACAGAGTCAAATCACTTCGCCCACTACACTATGAAAGAGACTTCTTTAATATAATCTATGCTTCAACAGGGACTAAGAAAGTACATAGCGTTGACAATACCAAACAAAATAATGAAAAATAATTCTAAATAAGTTATATTAAAATGAAGTTAATATTTAACATTCAAATAAATTTTATGCAGCACATCTTCTACTTCTCAGAAGTAGAACTTAATACATTTCTTACATATGCAAAAATATCTACTACAATTTCTACAAAGAGGCATAGCTCATGTGATTTAATATCGCTTGTAATTAAGATTAACTTAATTAGGTACCTTAACTGCTAGCTGAAATTAGCTGCATAGGTACAATTTTATATTATCCATAGGATCGACTTTCATATCTCACACTTCTTAAATTTTTTAATTTTTTATCTATAATTATTTGTAAAAGTTAAAAAACTGGTAACCTTAAATTAAATTCAACAGTCGATATAACTGTATAGGATGAAAAAACTCAACTGAAGTAATTAAATCATATTTAAAATATGTCACACTTTATATAAGTCACAATGCGTATGAACCGCCATACAATATTAAATTCATATTAGAGCAAAACTCTACCTCTGCATCTTGTTTATTAGCAAAAGCGTTAGCTAACAGCACCAAAAGCAGCAAAAACGAGCAAGAGTGCTAGCTAAAAGCATCAAGATTGGTCAAGACAATTTTAAATAATTCTTAAACATTTCTGAAAAAACCCTGTTTGCCTATTTTCGCAAAAACGCCACTCTCATCCAATTAATCGACAAATTCAAATACCTCGGAGTTGTGGTCGCACCCAAAAGTAACTTCATCCCACACATAACCCAGGTCTAGACCAAGGTACTATGCCACAAGCAGCTCATTTGGTCTGGGGTAACCTCGGCCCAAGTGAAACGTTTACGAGTCCTTGAGTGAAAAATCTATTACGTCTGTACCAACTACAGACGTAATCCCAATGGATATCACCACTCTTGTCGAGTTCTTTATTTCACCGCCAAATACCTACTGTCCTTGGCACGCTGGTACCTAATCCGTCGACACAACCCACCCCCCGATATTCTGCATGCCGAAGAACTCCCTGCTGAGCTTCTACAAGCTCTATTCCACAGGTCTTTTCAACTCCTTGCTCTCAACTTCGACGAGATGGCTCGATCCCCCACTCAATTCCGCTGTACAATCGCAAATATCGTAACCCTCTACACAGAGTATACCGCTAGTGGTTTCTATGAGGTGGTTTTAGTGGGTTAAAGTCTCACTCTGTCTATATATTTGGTAGGTTGCCTTCTATGCAGGATATATAAAGTTCTTTAGAACCTAAAAGAATTATCTACTAATTTTTGTAATATCAGAGAAATATTTTATATAGAATAAACGAATAATATTGAATATTAGTCGGGAAGTGTGTTTGTATTCCAGTCGATAACTGTCTTGATTATTTGCTTTTTATTTTATTTATTTTTCTCAAGATTCTGTTGAGAGCAACTTGTGGCTTTGCCGCAGATACAGGTTAGAATGTTTGTGAATGTATTCACAACTTTTGTATTTGGCTTAATGTGTTTACGTATCTCAGCCAACCAAGAACTTTTAACACCGTCTGATGGCGAATACTGCCTCTCGTGGTTATCATTCACCATCAGCGTATCATTATTTCCACCAAGACGTCATTTACACTCGTAAAATGTTGTTTTGTGCTCACAATGTGTAACTAATTTGCATTACGACGTCACGATTTTCATGAAATTTGGCATGGTGATTAAGTTATGAATGTTGTTATTAGTGTAATTTACTTCTTACTTTCAGATAAACTTTTTTTCGATTTTATGATTATTTCATTTCATTACTTGACTTCAAGCGCTTTTAAGTGTTCGCAAATATTTTAAGTGAACTCTGTTAAATTTCCAATAATAAGTTTCTGACAAGATTTCTACTTTAATTCTTGCATAAAGATGAGAGATAATAGCCAGTTGCTATAAATTACCTTTTATGTAAAGCAATTACTGATAGGAAGAAATTACTTAGAATATGAAAGCAATGAGATAGTTTTTACCTCAATAGAACAATGATGAATTGCATTGTCATTATCTAAATGTAATCAAGAATCTTTCCTGAACACATAATCAACCGTGACTTAATGTAATATTGAATAAAATCGTATAGCTAAAAATAGTAAAAAATTTAAGATTAAATAATTCAAATGGTATATGACTAAGTGTAGATAAAAAATGCTGTGACTCACTGGCAACATAACATACATTAACAAAAATGACAATGATACATATTTCTAAGATAGTAGAATAATATACATATATATTATCTATTAGCAAAACAAAATCTCTTAGCACGCCTAAATTCTACAAATGCGGGCTTAGATACTACATAACGAACTCAAGTAGATACATTTTACTTGCTTCTTAATTATGCATAAAAGTTCAGTGACTTACATTTTCCATTTGTTGAGTATTAAGAGGCAGTCAGTCGCATTTAAAAGTTTATATACCGAAAAATACAAGAGTTTACGCATTTGTACGCAAAAACAATAGTGCCATCCTTCAGATAGTCGCCTGGTTGCATTAGTAAATGAAATAGGTACTGTGAAGTATGTGGAATACTGAAATGCATTCATTCAGCCTAACACACTCGTCACAATAACATTTAGAAAGTGGAAGCAATATGTGGTGTATGAAATCCAACCGCAGGTGTAGTCGCATGTGCTTCAGATACATATATGACAAAAATCATAACAAAGGATTTCTCATCTATTTTATGCTTTAATGCAGGTTTTTGTTTTTGTTAAATTTTCTTTTAAATCAAAAAAAAAATTCATATTTTAAACATTTAAGTAGTAAATCTTTAAAATAATAATATAATATTAGTTTATAACTTATTGAAGTTTCATCTCGTTTAATAAGTAAACCTTTTTCCTGTATTGCATCTTTTTAATTCAATTTTCAAGCATAAAATCAATAAATAGTGTGTTTTGTTCTTCAAAATTGATCATTATCATCCTAATAGGCACTATGACCGGTGTCCACTCTGAGCAACCTTCTACAAATCTCCCCACAACTTCGAGGTGATTCATTCAGCTGAACACCCCTAGGATGATAGCCTACGCTATTATATCAGTGGAAGTAATGTCCACTTTGCTGCTATGCAATTTGTTGTCCGAAAGGATAATGAAGACAATGGATTTCATAACACGTTTCCAAGAAAATATCTACTAAAATTTTTTGAGCATTGAGTGTTTTGGTTGTTGCTGTGAACTCAAAAGACTTGCTGCAGTCAGAAGAGGAGCGGACCAAGAAGGCAACTATATTACAAAATATTTAAATTCTTATTGGGTTATCGAATAATAGATTAAGAAAGTTTAGTGGCCATTGTAAGCACAATTGCCATCTGCACAATACAGATACATGCATATTATATGAAACTTCATGTGCAGTTATGAATCAAATTAGTCGACTGAGCATATACAAATCGACTGACAACAAACATCTTGGATCATATTTAATACCAGACAATGCTACATTGACATTCATTTCAATTAAAATCTTGAGTGCAACCGGACTGGGTAAGATTTTGTAGAACAACTCAATATTAGAAGAGGTTGAGGTTGAGAAGAGGTAGATGCCAATAGATCTATCGACCGCCATATTTTTTTACCATAAATAAATATTTACCATTTACTATATTCACATTATATTGACAGGAGCGAACGCCACTCAACCGTCTAGAAAATCGAATGATCAGTTCTTTCTTCATAATTAACCTATACCGTTTATTGTATATTTTCCAAAAAAAAACTTTTAAGCTTTGCGCAGTTAATTACATAATTATTTTATGAAACGAATAAATTATTCGCAGATTTTTTTAAATTAATTAGAGTCCTTTGTATATGTATATATAAAAGCCCAGTTTTGAATTTAATATTCATTTTATTTTTTGTTCATCATTTATAAATAAATCATATTTTTTGTTAATAAAATTCATTTAAGTTCCTTTTTTATTAATAAGTACAAATTTATTATTTAATCAGATGTTTACAAAATTTTTACTTAAAATCACATATACAGTAAAAGCTCTCTATAACGCACAGCAACGGGAACTTTAGCTCTGTCCGCTTAAGAGAATGTACTTTAAAACTGTTCGTTAACAGAGCTTTCACTGTAATATGAAACATATTATAACAATTAAAAAATAATGCAAATACAAACTTATTCAAAAGTATATGAATCAAATAAATAAAATATTTTGTTCCTTATAGGTTATATACATACTCGTATTTGATATGAGAATAACTTAATTACCACAATATTGAAAAATTTTTAGTCTTCTAAGACTACGTTTTGTTCGTTTATTTTTTAAATTACAAAATAAAAAATTATACTTTTAATGAATTTTTATGCTCATTTATAAAAAATTATTTAATTATCAAATTTTCTTTACTTTAGAAAAATGTTTCGAGTTTTTATGGAATATATTAAATACAGTGTAGGTTTTCAATTACTTTACATGCAAATGTATTAAATATTATTTATAAATTATAATTCTAATATATAACTTTAACTTACTAATAAAGAGTATGTTTTAAAAATTTAAAAATTTCCGTGTTAGACTAATTCTAAATAATTGAGCAAATATTCACTTAATTATACTATATATCTTGAAAAGGACGTTAAATAGTTTATAAAGTTCGTGCATATTGTGCAGCTTGTCATTTTTTAAGCTAAGTACAAGAATATATAATATTTAGAAATTATATGAAACAAATAAATCAACCTTAAATTACTTAATTAATTTTATTCGCTAATAATTAATAATTACGAATAATTTGACTTCATACAACGTGTATGTTAGACTATGTATCTAATTTTAAAAATGAATCACTTTTATAATATATGTATGTTTTTATATCATAGCAAGTTTCTAAAACATGCCATCAGATCGCGCTATAGGTACTAATATTATTAAAAATATAACGAAGTTGCGTAGAACTAATTTCCAATCGTTTGGCACAGCTATTGGAGATAGTATTTGTGTTATGCGATTTACTTCATGTGAGGCACATACAAATATAAAGGAAGTGATAATCATATTAAGCGTAGGAAATCCTGGCAGTAATACAAGCACACCATTTCGATCTGCAGCTAACCATATATGATACTGACATATAAAAAGTTCCAATGAGATACGTCCAAACCAAGCGAAAAATGTGGAATATCGTGTACGTAAAATACCTGAGATATTTCTTAAAATAATATATCCAATAATTGGTATAAATAATATATAAGAATGTATCTCCTCGCAATTGTTTTCATTACGGCAAAAAAATGAGAAGGCAGTATAGAAGCCAACACCTAATAATGCTAACAATGTTACTGTAATTGAAGTGCGCCTCGCGAACAGATTGCCGTGATTATTGTCATCAAAGAAACTATACTTTTGTGCAATATGGAAAATCGCTGCAAATATCATACCAAATGTCACAGTGTATCTATCCAATTTCCACTGATACCACCATTCATGTATATCATCATCTGTAGTGACGAATAGTGCTTTCCAAGGACGTGTAACAAAAATTCGTTCAAAGAAAACTTCCGACATAAAAAGTACAGTGATAACACTAATACAACCTACAAATTTTCCAACTAAATACAAATAATGTAGAGCATTTAAATCGACAGATTGTGATGTTATACGTGGTGGTAAGGACAATAAGAAATATATTATACATAACCAAAATGATAACAATGGTACGAAGTAATAAAATTGGTATGGTCGATTCATGCAGAAGCACAAAATAACAGTCATGAAGTTCAATCGGAACATAACTTGAAAAAAGCGCACAAAGCCTGAATTGCCAGTTTGCCACATGTAGGAGAAGTGAGTGTATCCAGTTAGAAAAAGGTAACCACTTATAAGAAGTTTTATATGCATATGTATGGGTAGGACACGATGCGCACCTGTCATATAGTAAATTAAAACTACCAGTAATATCCAACCCTTTAACTCATCCGTCTGATCACGGTTAAGCACTTTAGTAAATCGGGAATCTTCCATAAAGAATATACCCAAAGCGAAAACATAACCTACAGGTATCCAAAAACTGAATTCAGAATAGTATTTGTTTTCTTTCATAAAAAAATTCGTACGATCACAGAGATAAAAATATGCCATAATAATACCAAGTAATGCTAACGCTAGTATCGGAGTTGAATAGTCCATCGCCAATATACCGCTGTTTTGATTGCCATCCACATTAGAATTTGCATAGAATCGGTTACTATGCTGGTAAAGTGGCGTGTAAAATGTTTTACCTTGCAGATGCAGCACCCATCGACGAAAACATATAGCACAGGCCAGGGCAATACTATAAATAAAAAATTATTGTTACTTTTAATTTATATAAAATAAAAACAAATAAAATTACCAAACTCCAAATACTGCATAGGTTACAATTTGCAGATTTGTATAAGGCTCTGCGCTGCTGCAACATGTGCCATCATTGTAATTCATATAATCATTGCAATACATATTCAGTATGAGTTGCACTTCATGCCGTAATCCCAAATCGCTCAATTTATAACCATCTATAGCGTTATCTACAAGTCCATCGGATATGTGAGTTGCAGAATCCCATACAGCAGCATCAGAGAAACGAAATACCTTACGCGCTTCACGATTTATACGATCGATATCTTTATTCTGCACCAATTTCCAAGCTTCTGGAAGCTTATCTTCATTTACATGATCTTGCATTTTCCAAAGTACTTTAGACTTTTGTGCAACTAAGCGATCCAATGGCACAATAAGTCGAGTCAAATTCAAATTATAAGATTTTAATAATGATTCTGTTACGTTTCCGCCGTGAAAGTTACGATGAGTTAGTCCAATAACAAAAACGCCATGCAAGTTTTTCGTATCCTCAAATCGAGTTAGCTTATCTAACAGCGAGTCGGATACTTGGTCCGCAAAAATATATAGAGAACGCATATTCAATTTACGCTCTTCAAATTCGAGATCATGAGGTGGTTCAGATTCTAACAGTAATGAATTGTTATCATCATCATTTGGATTTAAATGTGTTATGAAATTCTGATAAAGTCTACGTATACTACGGTCACCAATAAAGATAAAATCATTTTGCTTTCCCCAGAAATCTAAGTAACGGAAGCAACGACGCGTATCTCTGAAAGAATGATTTAAATTTTAAGATATTTAAAATTTTAATGAAAATTTATAAAAAAGTTAGTTATTACAGTAGATGCTCGGGTTAACGAATACCCGATGTAAAGAACGATCACATAATTGTAAATAAGAGATATACTAAATAGCGAAAGCTACGAAACGAAAGGTCTTGGCATTATTTCTTTCCTAATATCAGGAGTCTACTGTATACCTGGCAATCAAAGTCTCTATTCAATTTGGAACCATTTTGATACCAGGTATTAATGTGGTATATATTATTTCAATTCACACAAACTGCTTATGAATATAGTATATATCTGCACATAAAAATAATATTTATATATTTTACATAATAGACCATTCTTTATAGTAATTAAGACATGATAGTAATAATAAATTCAAAAATACCAGTGATAAAAGTCAGTTGATAAGCAAAACATCAGACATAAACAGCATGACTCACATTTTATCAATTATTTTTGATATATTTTTACACTTCAAAGCTAAAAAAAATTGAGTTAATAACAATTTTAGATAATTCTAGCGAACATAAGTCAGATATGAATACTTCGAAGAATAACCAGTTCTAAGTCATGAACCGATGCAGACTACACAGAGCGAGCACTCCTACCAGCTATTCAAAAATCTCACTTATGTGGATCACAACGGCAAGATAAATAAGAAGTTTTCCTAAATTTTCACATTTTTGATATAAAAATATTTACTTAACTCACACAGTCTCATAGTTTCTTTCTTGGTTTCTTGAGTTTGAGTATTTTGCGGGATAACTTCAGTAAACTTACGTTTGAGAGTACTTATGCATCATGCAACCGTAAGGTTGCCATTCATTGTCGCCTTTAAAACGCCCTTTAGACAAAAGCCATTGACAGGAATCACTGCCTAATCATAAGAAATAAGATAGGAATTTTTATTTATATAGTTGCGCCAAAACATTAATTCAAACAATATAATTACCATATTGCCAGTTCAGAATTCCATGATAAATTAAAAAACCGCAAACTAGTAAAAAAGCTATTTTTTTTGCATTTACTGCATTCAATTCCTGTATGAGTCTCTCCGCCTTGGATGTTCTTTCCACAAAATTATCATTGTTTATTGCGTTTAATTCTATTTCCTCAGTCATTTGTATATATATTAAAAATTATTTATATGTTATTATTTATTTAGTTATTGTTGAACTTTAATTCATATTTTATGCAATTTCTTATCCAGACGAAGAGCAACAATTATGTGAAAATATTTTCAAAAATGTTTTATAAGATATATAAAATTATCTCCTTTCAATTATTAGTAGGTAATTATTATCAAGAATAACAGTATTGTATGAAAAATTATAGGCTGTACCGTTCGTCCAAATTGTCTGCGAAATATATAAAACATAACAGAACATATGATAAACTTTGTTTACATTGTTCAAGCAGGCCCTTGCGGCGAAAGATTGAAATAACGACCGCATGGAAAAATTCAAAGCAGATAGCGTGTACACTTATGAACATGGTGTCAATCATTAAGTGTATGGTTTGTGTATAAATATGTGTGAAGTCAATATGATTGCAAAATAAAAAGCTTGTACTATTATATCAGGTCTTATAACAAATTTTTTTTTTAATTATTGTAGTTGACATGCATATCCAAATGTAATGAATAGTTCAGTATTACTATTAATATTCAGATATCATTTTTTCATACTAAGATACGTAATATTTTCAATGTTTTTAATGTTTTAAATATTTTTAACTAATATGAAGTCCTTTAATACCATACCTAACTTTTTTGACGCGACCTATAGTTTTAAATTTCATTCTAAAGACAGAATTTTATGTTTCAAAAGGGTTAAGTCTACACGTTTAATATATTAAGCCTTTCAATGAACTGTGCTTAGCTTGCTAAAGTCGTGCTAAATAGCAAAAATGCTAAAGTGTTGAATTTATGTTATGTATTTATATTTAAATAATCTTAATCTTACATTCGATCCACCGTATAAGGCGTTTTCATATTTTTAACAAGTAATTTCATTTTTCATTAATGATGTTGTCATTAATATATTAAGCGCTTTAACAATTTAGCACGAAGTTAGCATGTATAGTTGAATATGTGCTCAGAGTACTGAACAAAATGCTATAGCTTTCGAAATAGCATTTACAAATTAAAATATAATAAAATCAATGTTATATATAACATATTTAACTACGGTTGCCGCTGTCACTGGAAATACAGCTTTGAGTTTATATATTAGCTGCAGCCACTTAACATAATTAATCATTTTTTTATATCGTTTTACATAATAATTTTAATAGACTAAATGTATGAATCTTATATACAAAAATATTTTAGAAAATAAGAACTCTACAACAGGAGTACTTTGTGCATGTAGTGAATTACGGAAATAATGCAATACACTGCTTATTGAAATGATTGAAGTTACCACTAGTTTATATATTAAAAACGGTACAGTTAATGTGTTGCTGTAAATTAAATGTTGAAAAGGAAATCAAAAAATATACAAGTAGGAAAATTTGACATTTTCTTAAATAAATAATTTTTATAATAAAATAATTTTTGAATTATTCGATTTAATTTAGTAATACGAATAGCACATATCATTTCACAAACTGAACACGCATCACAAGTGACAGATGTGTTATACGTCAAATTATTATATAGTCATCTCTTTCATTATCACGCAGTTTTATATAAATATGTGAGAATGTCATAATTTTATTTATGAGCTATTACAACGGCAAATTAAAAATTTAACATACGGCGAAATTTTAAAAGTGACGCATGCGTTGCACAATTTATATTGCCAAAAAAGAAGCATAGCAAGAGCTGAACGTTCTTACTAAGTAAATTGAAAACGTGTTAATATCAGTTTTATGATTAAACATTTGAATAGCTTTATTAAATATTGAAAATTTATTGAACTAACATATTAAATAACTTTTAAAAGGTACTTGCTCCCGGCGTAGTAACCTTTAAACGGAGTGGAATAAAAAAACGCAGCAGCAAACGTAAGGGAAAGAAGAAACGGGTCGCCACAGCGAAAAAATTGTCAAATTTTCCAACAAGAAAGTGATTTGCTGTTAATATTTATAAAATTTTTACACTTGAATCAAAATGGAGGAGAAAAAGGGATTATTAATTATTGACCCACCATCCGAATTACGATTTGTTGGTAAGTAAATAAAAATGTATAAGCAGAAAATAGTAAAACTTTGATAATTCAATAAATGCAGCATAAACATTTCACGTACTGTCACGCAGTTATAAGTGTAGAACAGCTTTTTTCTACATTAACTGCAATAGAAATAACGCTTTGGATTTTTAATTGTTTTAATAGAAAACAAATTATAGTATGACTAAGTTTTTCCCTTTTATAAAAATGTTAAAAAAATATAATGATTCATAGTGATGTGTATATTCTTTCCCTGAACAATACACATCATCTGTACAATTTTTATCGCTAAATGTTATTCCAAAATTACAATAAGAGAACTTTTATTGTATTTTTAACTAAGCTGTTTTATTTTCTTTTGCATTAGTTTCAAAATATGCAAATTTTTTATCAATATATATCAATACAATAGGTTTTCATTGTAGTATGTGTATTCCATATATTTAATCTATATCCATTATTTAGTGGTCAGAGAATTATATTTGAATATAATTATATTACTAATGGCTGTATATTAATATGCCTAATCATATGAACAATCTCATTTGGTCTAAGATTAAGTACTTTGCTCTTTATTATTTTAATCCAAGAGTCAATGATAAAATTATTAATTACTAAAGCTTATCAATACACGAAATTATTTCGTGAATTGTGTATTTATATTTTGATAACGCAACTGAATTTATTTCTGCAATTATGAACTTGTCTATATAGTTTCAAATATTTTAATGAAATTGTTATTAATCATATTCTTAATTATTCTTTTACGGGTTCTGTTCTTTGTTCTTAATTTCGTTTGTTATTCAGTTTTTCTTCCTCAGCTAAAATATTTCAGGCTCATTTCACACGTTTTATTGTGATATAAAAATACAATTTATATATACTATCATACATGTCTCTTAAAATCTATACATAAAATATTTACACTTTAAACGAATGCGTTCACTACTATTATGTTTGTCACACAGCATATCCGGAAAACAATATTCTGCCAAATTTTGTTTTCTTTAAAATTATTATATAGTATATATGAATAATAAAAATGTTTTAAATGTGTTGAAATTATCGTATATAATTTCCACTTAAAACCTGTGCTTGGCAGGTTGTATATATAAAACATTCGAAACATCAGCTAAACAGAAGACAGTTGCAATTCTTATAATTGCAGAGGAGGCAGAAATTGTCTGCTAAGACAACAGAACATCAGGAAGATCTTATAGAAGTATAAAGCGTTATAAAAATATATATATTGACTTGATGATGTCAAACAATTCAACCTGTCCTATTAGATTTCATAACGATGGTTTAAGTACAAATGCTACTCCTAAAATAGTATTGTAACAACATTGCGAAAGCTTCGGGTTGTCAAAATAAAAATAAATTAAGGTGAAAGTAACTACTAATAACTTTCATATTTGAAATTATTACACAGAAGTCATCTAATTCAAAGCAAGATTTCTAACACGGCTTGTAGCTCTATTTATAGGACAGTATCGGATATAACTCCACTTGAAAAACCGAATCTCTGTGACAGAGCCTTGGTCAAATCGTCAGATTTTAATACAATTAAAAGTTGAAACACAAAATTAAAGATCATTACAGAGAATTAATTCCAAACATAGAAAAATAAGCCCTTAGTACTACACAGATTGTAAGGCCCGGTTAGACAAGTCAAGGGAAAGATGAGTTGTAGGTATAATAAACGACATTAAAGAAATGAGTGCAGATGATAGAAAAAAATTACATTACTTCTCAAAAATAGAGAATGGTTATATTGACTGTATAATGAATATTAGATTAGGTATTCTACAGCATTTTTTTGTTTTGTATTGTCGGATTTTTCATTTGTATCCGATATAACAGGAGGGTGGGAGATGCTTTCTTTGGTGCTGTTGGTTGGCACTTCAAATTCTGTTTGTTTAAACAGAGTTGACCTTAAAACATTGAATTTTTGAAATTGAAGTTAAATATTTGCTGCAGCAATGCTGAAAATATGTACTTTTGAGCTAAATTGAAGTCTAATTGCATGCGATAGAGAGATCAAGTGAAGTGTAGTTTATAATTAATATCTGTTCAATTTTTTAGGTCAATTCATATGTAGTGTAATTAACTTATAACGTAATTTTTTTAATTGATTAAATTACTTGTTGAGGCTTTTTGGTAAAATAATTTGATTTTTGTCTCTTTTGTATTACTTAATATTGCAATTGGTTTAATTATTAAAAATGTAAAGCTTTATTATATTTTATTATCTTCCTAAAATTAATGGGAGTATTTAAGATAGGTTTAATTATTAATTTTTATTTTCTCTAAACAATGATATCAAATGCCATATATAATCTATATGTGGTCACAAACATTAACAAAATGTTTTTGTCTGTTGGAAATAAAAATTATTTACTAGAAAAATATATTTGTTGAACTTTCAATGACGTAATTTGTTACTTCTTCTCTTTCTTCTTTTAAAAATATATTTTTACTTTATATTTTATTTTGACAAAAATTGTGTTTACACATATATATTGCGCCAATTATAGAACTTGTCTGATATAATGCATAAGGAAAAAAAATTTTTTGATATTTTATTTTCATTGAGCAGCTCATAAATTTTTATGAACTGTATTAACTTAAACTGTATCTTTTATTGTTCATATGCATAAGAACGAACATATATACTATAATCGAATATATTCATATGACATACACCCATGTATTACTTTCACCCATGGTAGGTAGTACTTTATGTGTTGTCGGAATAACTGCAATTTGTGCAACGTGCGAATCGATTATTAACAATTGGACCTGTGCAGCGTGAAGGTGACGTGACATGTTGCATTAGTTATTAAAATTTTTTATTGTTCTGTTTTTGTAGTTGCAAGTAAAACCACAAAAAGGTATTATGATTATTTTTTTTTTGTTGGCCAATGTCGTTTCGTGACCCCCTTTTGAAGTAGCAATCACAGCGGATACTGACGCCGTTCCATTGCCTTACTTCTTTCATTTATAAATAAATATACTCTCGAGTATTTTTTAATAGAGGATGTTTGTATGTGTGTGGTTTGTTCATTTGTAGTATTTCAAGAATAATAGATTATTAGTATAAACCAAATGCATACTATACAAAATATATGCGCATATATTAAACAAAAAAATATTCTTATTTATGAAATGACGTAATAAATGACGTGACGAAACAATTTCCGCAGTCACTTTTCCTTCATAATTCCCCATCTTTCCATCTTTCTATGCAATCACATTGTTTACAATTTTCTTCATTCATTTTCTTTGTGGTACATTTAATTTCTTCCCTTTAAAGCACACCTTAACAGCTACTCACCTGCTTACACGGACAGCCACCAAATATTATGTTATTTTTTGAACTACAATTTTGGTATGCCTGATGGGTTCTATACAGTGCTATACAGTTTATTGAATTTAGCAGATTGTATTAAGAATAAATGATAATTGAAATAAAAAAGGCATAGAAATGATTTATAACTTCTCATTATAAATTATATACATATATCTAATGATTTAAATAAATGGCAAAAGTGACAAAATTCTTTCTTCAGTGTATGTATTAAATTTTTATTAAAGATGCAAATAGTATACAAAAATAAGAAAAATTCATATATTTAGGGCGCCCCGATTTGATAATGCATTTAAGTAAATTCTCTATAAAGGAGCAACTCTACTACTACTTCTACTACGTTTTAAGCCGGCATATATTGATATTCGATATATTGATATTTAATATTCTGAACAATTTTTCACTGATTAATATGCCGATACTTAACATTTTAGGGTCTTTCTTTTTTGAGGATCTTGACGAACTTCAGGTTCTTCCTTTAAATAGCATCATAAGCTTTGCCATAGGTTCTAGATGGTTTCAACCCTTGAGTTTTTAATAATACGGTAGTACAATGGTCCTGTAGGCCTAAGTGGATTCCCCTAGGATCGCCGGTATAACCTAATCTAACCTAATATGCCGATATAGATTAGTTTTTGGGTTTTGATTACTTTATGATTACATTAACAATGATTAATCCGACAAACAATGTATTTAATTGTTGAGAACTTCAATAAATCGAAATGGACATTCGAAATATTAGAGGAAATAGTTGTGCAGTTTATTAAATGTTGACAATATTGGTTGCGAAATCACAGCGCCCCGAATATCAAAATCGTGTTAATTTTTCAATTGTATTATGTTAAAAAATAAGTAGTGGAAATATATATGAAACAAACAATTTATACCGCATTTTTGGCTTCGCTTTTGCTGATGAAGAATTAGTTTTGTTGTCTTCTGTTGTGCTTATTTTTCGCTTGAGTTTTTTTAGCAATAAATTCACTAAATTCATTTTGTTAAATTCCTTAAGTGTGCTCATAGTTTTTGATGTTATGTCAACCACCCTCTTTGCATTGCACACAGGGGTGGTATCTATAAAAGTAAGGGTTTGGTTCCATTACGGGTTTTTCCAAGTTGCTTGTGCTTGTGCACTTTGTTTTGTAGACACAAACGTAAGTATGTGTAAATATATATCTGTATTGTCTTTTTTTTTTTGTTCAACTTGGCCTATATTTTGTGACGTTTTTTTTTGTATGTTTTGGGCTTTTTTTTGAAATGTCCATTAATATTTAAACAAAGAAATATTAACTACCAAAAATTCAGTACTAAATTAATCAATGTTTTTTATTGCTTATTGTAAGAGTTATTAATGTTAAATGATAATAGTAATCCCTTTTATTTAAAAAAAAATTAAAGCATTAATGAACAATTTATAAATAAAATTGTCTTATGCCTTGAGGTATAGTGTTGGCATTCCTTATAACACTCTCCCTAAGATTTGACTATTTCGGATGTCGGTCACTGAAGCCAAGTAGTTATCTCAAATTAGATCGTAACAGGGAACAAAATCAGTTTTCCTTTATTTAATTACACTTACTACTGTATTTTAAATAAATAGAATTTTCAATTAAGTTATCAAAAATGTAAAATTCAGATGATGAGGTGAAGAGAATGATGATGCAATGGTTTTTTATAGTACAAAACTTTCAATAAAAATTACAAGAAAATATATATAGTTTTTTTTTTAAAAGTTCTAAACAAAACACAAATAACAAATTTATGATATAATTAGTAGATGTATATAAACTATTTCTTATAGCGAGCTCCTCGATGAACGATTAATCTAGTAAAAATTCAAGGCAACAGCAAAATGAATAAGCTTCATCTAAAGTATATATAATTTGTTGCTGACACTTAATAAGGTTGCCAATGCTACTCAATTATCGATCTCATTACTCAAGATCGTGAATACCCTTAGTATATATAATGTATGGTAAATTGTAGTGTTGAATAGTTTAATATAATTACTAACGTTTTCGAGCATATAAATTATGATTATTCTATAATATAATATATTTGTATTGTTTTAATTTTTAGGTCCATTTAGTCGTCCCGTTGTCACGATTATGCGTTTGACAAATCCAACAGAAAATTCAATACTTTTTAAGATTAAAACTACTGCTCCAAAACGTTATTGCGTACGTCCAAATTTTGGCGCTGTCTTACCAAATTCACAGAGTTCCGTGGAAAGTAAGTAGATAAATTGAACTATAAAGTTAACAAAAAAAATGATAAATTATTCTAAAAATTTCTTTTAGTTTGTCTACAAGCATTTTCATATGATGCAAATGAAAAAAATAAACATAAGTTTATGGTTCAAAGTCTTGTAGCTCCAGAGGATTGTGCTGATCCCAATAAAGTGGTATGTTGAGTGGTATTTAAATTCAATTGTAATAGATTTAAAATTGTTATTGCATATAATTTTAGTGGAGGGAGGCAGAGCTAGATCAAATGATGGATGCAAAATTAAAATGCGTTTTTGAAATGCCAGCTACTTCTGCAAATGCTGATACTAGTGGTTCGGGTAATTATAAAAATAAAATTATATTTAGATAACTTTTTATACTTTATAATATATTGTTGTTTATATTTAGCTCCAGTAGCATCAGGAGCCTTACGAGAGAATTTCACAAAGTCTTCAGGTGAAGAAAAGGTATGTCTTGATAAAATGAATTAACAATTAAATTATAATTAATATTCTTCCAATTTTTTCACATATTTGTTGCAGTTATCAAATATACAAGCAACATCAGAAGATACAGAAGAGGTTATTGCTGAAATGAAACAATTACGCGAAAAAAATATGGGTTTGCGACAAGAAGTTATAAACTTAAAGGTAACGTATAAAATACCTGTCTCAGAAAATTTTAAAATATTTTAATACTCAGATTACATTAAAATTTTCATGCATTTAGTAATAGCCTAGACACCTCTAAGATTTTATTGCGTATTCTTTAGATAAATCTTTAATCGTACTGTATTTCGAAATTTCTGTATTTGATAGTCGGTGGATATTAATTCTAAGATAGACTAATAATAGAAAGAACGTATACAATATCTTCTTTTCAATAGCCATTGAAGTGGCAAGGTTTCTTTACTTTGATCCATGCTAGTTTTAATTAAATCCTAACCTATATAACCTCATATATTTTTTATTCCAAATAACTTCTTTTTCTTCTCACTTAACCCTTTCTTATCTATACCCTAACTCATGTATTTATATGATGTAATTCCCTACATGTTTCATGCAAAATAGATCTCTTCAGACATCAATAAAAACTGTAGTTTAATTGTGCATGGGCGTGACCCTAGCAAACAGAAAATTCCTTACATTATTTTGTCTTTACTCGCAAAACTAAAGAAATGTGAGCAAGCAATTGTATTCTTATGAATGATAACAATGATTAATTGAACAAAATGAACGGTGAACGATATAAATGAACATGAATGAATAATGAATAATAAAAGAAATCGGTAACTTAATTCACCTAAATGAATGATTTGTCGTCTTTCATTAAATGAACACTAGTATTATAGCTTAACATATATATATATTTAATTTATATTCAATATTTTCTAAAGAAACTAAATGGTATGTTTTTTTTTTGTTAGGAGCAAATTGTACGACTTAGAAGTGCACCAGCTATGTCAGCTAAAACAATCGATGAGACGTATGCACCTATGATTGCTGAAAAGCAGATACCAGTTTTTTATATAGCAATTTCGATTGCTGCAGCCATTTTTGGTATTTTGCTTGGTAAATATTTACTCTGAATGCATCAAACTATTTCAATGCAAAACGCGACACAATATTAATGAAAGTTTATAAGAAGCAACAAAAGAAAGAATTATAACAAAATTTCTATACTTATTATACTTAAATAAAAAAATGTTATTTACTTCAATAAAAGAACAACAAAAATATGCAACAGCGAAATCGAAACTTACAACAGAAATATAACATAAATATAATTTGCAATTCGACATAAATCGGATTAATTATCATCATTAATTTAAATAATTTTCCATAAACTTGCAATAGATGACATCAACAAAAAAAAAACAAATAAAAACAAAATTAAAAAAAACTAATTGTAGTTAATTTATGCTATGCATCTATGTAAAAGTTAAAAATTCAATTTATAGTATTAAATTTTGTTGCATTTTTTCTTTGTGAAAATAAAAAAAATCAATTAATGTTTAAACCTTTGTTTATATATAAAAAAGATTGTTCTTAATTTTACTACTTTTGATGTAATTTTTATTTTTTCTGTTGCTGGGCATTTTAAAGATTTTGTTTGATTTTTTAAATTGTTAAGTTTAAGATTTATTGATTAATAAAATAAAATAATATTCTTAATCAAATCAATTATTATAATAATTCAATTTAAAACGTAATAAATCTTTTAAATCAACACAAGCGTTGCACTTAAAAACCAAGTTTATATAATTGTACGGTGAACTGTTAAAAATAAAAAAAATTTGCAAATATATGAAATAAGTTGAAATTAGTTTCTAAATTAAAAATATCTACATATAATTTTAAAAGATTTGGTTTAATATTTTATTAATTTACTTTTCTTATTTCATTAATTTCTTATTTACTAAATATTTTTTTTATATTTAAATTATTCCTTTTATAATTTAATTTTTTTTTTAATTTAAATTTTATACAGATCATTTATTTATCTCTTGTTAACATATTTTATTTTATACAAAAATTTATTAAAGTTTATTATATTTATTTTATAGTCATAATCAAAAGATAATGCACTAGTGTGTACGTTTAAGAGTTTTGTATCATATTTTTAAATGAAAGCTGATGTTTATTTGAATGCTCTTGTTATAAAAAAAATATACATACAAATTAATTAAATTATTATTTTCTTTTTTAAATGTGCATTTAATATATTTTTTTTATTTTAAATATAGGTTACTATTATTTACAAGATATTAAATTGATTTGTTTCATTAATTTTTTTTTTAAATTTATAATAACTACATTATAGTTGTTAATAACAAAAAAAAATCTGGTTTTATCGTACTAATATTATTTAAATGGTAAGAAATTTAGTTAAACTATTACATTTTAAAGTGAAAACGCTTGTTATAAGTTTTTGATTGAGAAATTTTGTATTATTCGTTTAAACTTTCAAATGTAAGGAAAAGTAGTGGGAATAAAATAAAAAATAAAACAAATATAATAAAAAAATATATATTTTGTGCTCTTAGTTCATATATTTTCTACAATATTTCTCTAATGTACTGTGTAAAGGTTTTCATTAAAATTAATTTATTTTAATTGCACGCCGGCATTTCGATAAAACTATTTAGTAGTTATTTTAATAATTAATTAATAAACTTATTTTCATTTAATTACAAAATATGGCTTATTCAGATATATGGAAAAATCGCAAACTAAGTTTCCACACTCATAAACTAATAAAAGAAAATACTATATAAAAACTCATGAGAAAAATATTTAATATTATTATTAAGATAATTGTTGTGGCAGTGTAATGAAAACTACAATTTCTTTAAAAATAAAATATGCATTGTTTAAATTTTTAAATAAATAAAGCAAAATAGTAATTGAATAATAAAAAAAAAAACAAAAATAAATGGTTTTCTTTACAATGTTAACTTAATGAAAATATCATTCAAACCCGCTTTGATTTGTAAAAAACAATAAATACATCACAGAGTAAAATTGAATTTAATGCTGGTTTAATGCATTACAATTTAGTAACTAATTTATATAATACAGTAACGGTAAAATGGAAAAATGCATAATATATGTATATTTAAAACTATAATTAAATGGAAATTTAAATCGGAAAAAAGGTTGTTTTATTGTTTATAAATAAATTAGTTATTAATAGTTATTAAACATCCGCTACTAGCGCCATCTATAGATGTACTTATTTGGGCGTTTATTTTTTCACTAATGAGGATAAAATCCAGGTTTAATATATGAAAGGACGACTATTGATATGAACAAATGTCCTAAATATAATTAAATTTTACATATTGATCCCGGAAATAGAGGAATTTGATTTGTGTAGTTGCAGTCAAAATTAATAAATGAGTTAAATAGATGTTTAGTGTAGTCCGAGCTGTTTTATTTTAGATACTTCACATTTAGCTTGTGTCTTAATAATTTTTGTTTATATATAAATGACTTGTAAGTTTGAATTTATGCAGTCACATCTTTTTATGTCATACTACTAAATCTTCTAGTATCCCAGCCTATTTGCCTTGTGATCCATTCATTATTCTAGCTGTTCTAGTATTGTTCTGGTTACGACAATAAAGGCAGTTGATAAGATTAAAGATTGTATTTTATGATGAATTTTAATTGTTCATTAAATATATCTTATTTTAAGCGGAAGACATAAAGCACTGTCTTATTTTACAAAACTGTCTAATGTCGAAATTTTTATTTGGGTGTAGTATACAATAGTACTATAGTACTCTGTCTATATTGGCTTTTTTCATATATACCATGAACGATTTTTAAGAATTCATTTATAATCACTGAATGGCTTATGAATTGCTTTTCCCAATAATATTTCTACATTTCTCACTTAAAATTCAAAGAAATTTCATTTTAGTGTCAAATCATTACTTGTGAGATTTGTTAAATTGGCACTTATAATTTAAATGCACTTGTACTTTTCCTTTCAACTGCTATTTTAAACAGACTAACTTCGAATAGTTGGATTTTCTGTCATCGGATTACTAACTCACTGTGTGTATTAAGAGCTGTTTATTAAGATTTATGTACAATATATATATATATAGAAGCATATATTTCGGATAACAATCATTTTGCATTTCGTTTAAAAACTTGTGTACTAATAATGCATATTACGGTAGTAAATCATCAAAAAATTACAAAGTCCATGTACTACAATAATTCTTATCCCTTCCGCAATATATAATATATATTATTCTTTAATTCTAATTGGCAAGAATCTTGTAATAATACTAGATAATAATACAATGACTTTTTTAACCTAATATTCTAAGAAGATTTCATGCGTTATTTTTTTTTTCTCTTTATTCTTGGAAAATTTAAATTCTCATACCATAAAAAAATGTTTTAAATTGCTAATAATACGTTACTATTTGAATTTAAAGTCTTTAATTAGCATAAATACATTAAAATGACGACCCTGTTCTTGTATTTGACATATAGCACGTGAATGCTGAACAGCTGTTTGCTGTTGTCGGCTTTGCCGTTTACAGAAATTCTGTTAAATACAATTCGTTATTTATTTGGTTTGCCTTGAAGGAGTAATATGTATTAGTCTATAAACAGTTTTAATAAAAACAAAATTCCAAACTGAACGTTTAAGTGAGCGACTTCAAACATTGGCAAGAAATTTCTAGAATTGGCAATATATCTACATACATAAATAGATTATAATAAACATATATACGTAAAGTAAAAAGAAAACCGCGTCGTGAAATTAAACAACCATCGATTGTAATCTGTCTAAGAGTTATTTGTGCAAGTAATAAAGGCAATTATTAGTAGTTAATCAGCAATTGCTATCGTTGCTAGACAACCGCGCACTATCACTATTTAACAAACAACCAAATTACTATTTGATATATACATACATAAAACTGGACACCATGTCTACGGTGGGTACTTTAAAGGAATGTGTACAACTGCCCATTAAAGATAATGAGTTAGTCGATATAGTGCAAAAAGCTAAAGATTGGGCTATAATGCATGGCGCTGCCATGCGTTCCAAATCAAATTTCAGTCCAGATACATTAAATGTAAGTTTAAGTAATATTTTGTAGTTTTGGAGTTGAAAAAATATTTATGTGATATATATTTTATGTAAGTTTGCACCATTCGTTTTGGTTCCTTCATCATTTCCTCGAAAAGAATTCGAGAGAGCAATCCATTTACAACCAACAATAAACCGCCTTATGCATAATGTAGCACATGATGAAGAATTCCTCACTACCACACTAGCGGACACCATAAAAGTCGATGAGTTTACGGGTAATCTATTTAATGTATACAAAAAGGTTCTCGCAAATGGCTTCGGACAGGTATGTCGTCTTAATTATACATAATTAGTGGCTCATTAACACTTGCACGGCTTTATATTTCATTTCACATAAAACAAACATTTTCATTTGAAATTGGATGCAAAAGCAAAACATTTATTCAAAATTTGTTAATTGAAATGAAGTGTTAAAATAAAATAATTGCCACGTTCATATATCATTGTTTACATATACTACATTTATATATTTATTACTGTGTTTATTTTTGAATGTTTTTTTTAGCAGATAAAAATAATTGTTTAAATAGTTTACATATTCGCAAAACGCTTATCATACAAACGCTATCATTTGTGAGGAATTATAATAAAGTCTGTAATCGTTTATATAGAATTAGTCGTTATGAGGAGAATTTTTACTCATGACGTCAGGGTTTTGCGTGTGAAGAGTTAAACAACATGACAAGCAATTTTTAAATTAAAATATTTGTATTTGAATTTCATAATTTCATAATTTCGACTAACAAAAATGTATAGATATTTATGTATTAGTTATGTATTGTTACAGGGGCGTATTTTGTTTAAACCAGCTAAGCTTCTAGATGTATGTTTGTAATATGTATATAAGATCTTAATGGATTATTGCACTAGGAATCAATAAAACAATATTTGATATCTAATAAAACTTTAACTGCTTTAATAGAGGTAATAAAAAATATATAAATCTTTGAATAGACTTTAAAAAATTAAGTACAATTCAGTACTTTCTAACTATTGTTATTGTAGTATAATTAAATTTTTGTTATAATATAATATAAACTTTTCAATCAAGTATATTATTCTAAAATTATAACTAACACTCTGCCTTTAATAAATATTTAGTAGTCAAAAATATTGTTAATTGAAAATATTAATTTTCATATAATTATTAAATTATTAAACCAGTATTAGTTAGATTTGTGTGGGTATTATATTTATATATATAAGTTTGGTATACTGGTTATTGTTAAATATATATAAATTCGCATTGATAACATTTTTAGCTAATAACTGTTAATAATAAATATGTATATATATATAATATTGCTTTTAAACTCACATCATATTATCATTTCAGTAAGAAGTAAATGCTATCCTGTATCCATCCGACCTATCCTAACTCTAATTTACAAATGTCCACATATAACCTTAACTATCTTAACCTTATATTGCCTTACCTAACCAATTCAATATTGTTTATTTTTCTATTATTATTTTTTACATATTTACACATTTTATAACTGTGAGTAAAGCGCATTTCTCTGGGACTATTGCGAAGTGATTTGATGTTGGATTCGAATTGTAGAAATTTAAATGGCGAATATGAAGAAAGTGAAACAGAAACCCCCAGTGCCTACTGTTGCTGGAAACAAGTTGAAGTTAACACAATAGCCTCTGGCTTTGGCCATTTAGGACCAGTTAGCAGAGCTATACAAAGGTGCAGATTATTATTTTATAACGAAAAGTTTTATTAGAGCTTAGCGAAACGCTTCGAGTTATTTCCAATTTTTGTTTCCTACTGTTGGTTTGATTTTTTTTTTTGCAATAATATAAATATTTATATTTTGTTTATACATGAGTTAAGCAGTTTATTGACTTGTCTATACACATAAGATTTACTGAAGAGCTTTGCTGAGCTCGTTAAAATGTTACAATCTACGAGTAAAAACACACACACCGGTCAGTGAAGCTCTCAAGTAAATTAAAATGTATATAAGCAATGTTTTAAACAATTATTGCAGTGCGGTTATGTTTGCTTGTTTTGTTTATTTTTATACATATTTATATATATATATTTTGAATGTATATATTGAAAATTAAATTTGTTATTCTTGATCTTAGTAGTTCAATTATCCAAAACAAATAGACTTGCATGTGCTGATCCAGTTTAGAATTTTTTTAATAAGAATTATTTTATAAGAACGCTTATTTTGCTTAAATACTCATTGATTTTATATGATTAAGTATGTTTTACTAAACTGCAATTACACTTTTGTTGAGCAAACAGTCTGGCCGGGGAATTTTGTTGTTAACCATTTTTTTGTAAAGAGCAAAGTATTAAAAAAGCAACTCTGCTAACGAGTGCTGTTAAAAGTGAGTCCTCTTCAAACATCCAACTTCGTGCAAAAAGCACTAACAATAAATATTAATCATTTGGCAGTTACTTTTTTACGTAGTGGCGTATTTTTTGTTAAATATTATTCATATATATTCTAACGGATTTCTAATTTTGTTTTATATATTTCACCTTCTCGTTTCTATCAACTAAACCATCTATCATTTTAGTTTAATCACCGTTTACTACAAAAGTAAATTAAGTTTTTGTTGAATATATTAATTACAGGCTATAACCCTTGGTCTCTTACGTTCCGACTATTTGGCTCACACATTCGATGACAATACAATTAGACAAGTTGAAATCAACACGGTCGCCTCAAGTTTTGGAGGCATTTCCACATATATGATGCCTCTGCAGAGGTATTTTAATACCACAATACACTATCTTTTTTTAAGCAACAACTTTTAATTTTGGATTTGCATTTAGCAGAAAAAATAGATGCTATCTATCTCTGCACTTTTAGTTGTAGTCAAAAATTTGAGTCTTCTATGTTATTTCTTCATTTTACCCGTTTAATTTTTGTGTTAATTGTTGTAAAATATTTATTATGTTAATTAATATTGTGTTTCTTGTAATTTTTGTGTAGTGTGCATGAACCTGATAATGATAATGTTACGTATGAAAATTATAGTTGCTACTATACACAACATATATTTAAGCATTAACTTAAGTTTTCTCTAATATATTTTAAATAGTTACGTCCTACGCGAATTAAATCAAGCTGAAAAAATTGCCAGAGTATGTTAATATAAACGTAGTTTGCTTATCATAAGAATGGTTCTCATGTGTTTCTTTTCAGATGCCGAAAAACGACGCGCTTGCCGGTCTATGTGATGGGATGATCAAAGCATGGGAAATATATGCCAATCCGAAAGCAGTTATAATGTTCATCATTGAAGACGTTTCCTACAATATTTGCGACCAAGTATGTTCAGTATAATTACTATTATATATTATGTTGAGGCTAGTTGAGTCAGTGCACCTGAGCACTTTTACTCTCTATTAACTGCGAGGTTTCTTCAAAACCCCTCTTTGCGCCTTGACTAGATTATTGTTTATCACTTCATCAGACTAAGTAATAATTGACCTCAGATCTGCATACCTCCCCGAGGAGCCTGTAACCATTCTAAAATTTAATTATTTAAAATATTTTTAGTAAGATATATATCCATATCTATGGTCAAGTGTTAAATGGTTATATGCAGGAAGGAATGGAGAACATAATTATATATAAAGATAACAAAACGTGCATAAACAGATAGTATAGAATGATCAGAAGAAGTTAGGTAATATAGGAAGTTAACGGATGGAAATGATGGAATTTAGTCTAGGTTCATGTAGCGGAAAATTGTCGACTCAATGGGGCGTTAGTGTGTACGCCGAGAAAGAGAACCTATGCGTGTTGTTTTAGTTGTAAGAACTGTTGTTAGGACATACATTGGCGATGACTGCATTTATACATCACAAGTAATTGTCTATACCTAAATCTAAATTAAACCAACGATTTTAATTGGAGTCGAAGTTAGGAATTTTGTGTGGCTTCAACTGTGGTATCGAAGGCAACACTGCATCGAAAGAAGTTTGAATGGACTCAAAGCTCTCGGCGACTATCGATTTCGCTAAGGTTATGATATGAAGAAAAGGTCAAACTTATGCAACAAGGATATAGAGTTTTACTGACCGTGCTTTCCATCTGTGCGGCACACAGTTCTTGTGCATAATAGTTTTTTCCGATATTTACTTGGTATAGAATGAAAATTATTTAACATAAGATAAATTTTTATTATAAGATAAATTTTTTATCAAATATGTGGAACGTTTATTTCGTGTGTTGATATTGAGTTCCCTGCTTCTACATAAATGTATCACATTGCTTAGAACCAAAAAAAAAATACTTTAGTTTTCATAAAACTATTTTGTATTTATCGATCTAGATAGTTTATCTGTTTACTTTATAAACAGCTTCATTATTATTGAATACGCCTGTTATTTACTAATGATTATAGTTTAGAGCTAAATGTTTTCATTTAAGGTGAAAAAAATGTGTGTTTTGTCTATATACTATATAAAATAATTGTAAGAAATACTTAATTTTATTACGTCAAATCTTCATTGAAGATATGAAGCTTTTAATTGCTGTTTTCTGTTAAACTTTAAATTATATTTCATATACTGATTGACTACATTTGGTTTTCCTAAATACCCAAAAATCACTCTTAAACTATATTTTAACATTACAGGTAGTCAACTTAAAAATACTTCACTAAATAAATTAAGAATTTCTTCCTCATATTTTGTTAAGTGTTTGGACCTAAAAACTATGTCTTTTTAACTACCTGTGTAAAAACGCATTTACGACGTCAACAGGTAACCAAATAATCTTCCAAAGGGACGTACTTATATTCTAATATAATATAATTTACAGCAAATATTTAATGTAACATATAACACAAATGTATGTTCGGTTATTTGATTAACAAGAAAAATTTTCCAAGGGTATTTAAAATATAGATACAATTTTAAATTAGGAATTAAATGTGTCAAGCAATATTGCTTATATTTAAAATGATTATATTTATACAATTAAAATGATTTTATTGATTTAAAATGTTAACTCAATATAACAATGATGACAATGACATAATAGATTCAAGTGGGAGCCCATTTCCAAAAAGGGTATGAATCATCTAGGCTCTAATAGTGGACCCGTTCGGATAGAACCAGCTGTTTAAAGGAATTAAGTTGGAGTTACAGCTATACCGGGTCATGAAATGAAAAAAAAACAATGTCTATTATAATATTAGATAGACGTTTGAGGAAGTGAGATCCCAAAGGCTATATGTTTCCTCTGGAAAATTTCTGACATCGCTAGGGTAGAGAAGCAAATGAGGTTTTGTCATCTGGTTCACAGCTACAACTGTAGTCGTTCGAGGCAGTCTTCAATAGGTTGGCACGATCGTAAGATATAGAGATTAAAACAAGCTGATTTAAGTCATGGTTACTCTTAATTTTATTTTATTAAGTCTAAATCAAAGTTGTGTTCCTTATAAACATTCTTCAATGAGTACTGTTTATTTTTAGTTAGAAAGTCAAATTTAAGGAATCTATTATACTTGCCATATTCAAGGTTACTTTAAATGAATGTTCAAGTGTATGTTGTAAATTATTCTATACAATAGCTGCGTCTACATCTACAAGTTTCTAACTCAGGCGTATGAGTGCCGCTCATTGTTTACTACAGGGACAATGTCAGTAGGTTCTTCGGGCTACAATAGTAACATGTACTCTAATCCCTGAATGAAAACAGTTTGCCCCTAGCAGAACTGAGTCACTTTACACTTAATAAGCAATTAAAATGCTTAGAGACTTCTTACTTTTTATTTAATATATGAAATTTATACAATATTTTAGAATACTTATTTATATGATTTTTAATATTTTATTTATTATTAAGCGATTCCATGAGTTTTACATACGCGAGAAATGTCCTCATATTAAAGTATTGAGAAAAACACTAACTCAAGTGCACGATGAAGGAAAACTGGGTCTTAACAAAGAACTACTTATGTATGAACCTATTCTTTTTATAAAAAAATATATGCATTTTAAGAAAATATATTAAATTACAGCGGTAAGGAAGAGGTTGCTGTTATATATTTTCGTGCGGGCTATGAGCCTGGTCATTATCCTAGCCATAATGAATGGGATGCACGTTACCTCATGGAATGTTCACGTGCTATTAAATGTCCATCAATACATTATCATTTAGCCGGAACTAAAAAAGTACAACAGGCATTAGCAGTGCCTGGCGTGCTGGACCGCTTTCTGAATGACCCAGAAGAGGTATTGTCAATTTGTATTTTTAATATCATTCCTTTATTTAATATCATCCAATTGTTAACAACAGATTAAAGCAGTTACTAAAATATTTACTGGCCTTTATTCACTAGAAGATAATGAAACTGGTAATGCCACTTATGAAATGGCTTTAAAATCCCCTGAAAAGTTCGTTTTAAAGCCACAACGTGAAGGTGGTGGTAACAATATATATGGTATAGACATTCCAAGTGCATTAAAGGTAAGTTAATGGGAAATGTATTTTTATATATTTTACAATTACGCATATTTTAATTTATAGAAAATGAGTCGCTTTGAACGTTCAGCTTGGATACTAATGGACTTAATACACCCGCCAATATCTAGAGGGTATATGATACGGCCAAGTGGTCCTGTGCCACCTCCAGTTGTTGACATGGTCTCGGAATTGGGCATATTTGGAGTAATTATTGGAGATGTTGACAATATTATTTGCAATTATGAAGCTGGCCACATGCTGCGCACGAAATTATCTACTGCAAATGAGGGCGGCGTTGCAGCAGGTCTTGGTGCTCTAGATAGTCCATATTTAATAGACTAATTACATACTCTAAAAAATTTCTAGTGCAAATTTTAAATATTTTAAAATCACCCTATTGTATTCTTAAGAAATTGTTATCTTTATATTTTTATATAAGTTTTCTGTTTTTAAAAGTCTGTACTAAGAAATTGAAATTATATTCTCACAAATTATGTTGAAAGGGAATTTTTATATAAAATAGATATTATATTTTTTGGCTCAATGTAATTTTGTCTTTTTTTTAATTATAATATTAATTTGTGTCATTAATAATGCTAAATGTATTAATTTAGAAGTGGCTTTATATTATTGCACCGCCATGAAATGTGTCTAAAATGTACAAAAGCTTTACACGTATATCGTTAGGAAGAAACTCACTGTATAAGCAATAATGTAAATAAATGATTAAATGATATAGCATTAAAAATTGCCAGTCATTGTATTTATTTTTATTCATTTCTTTGACTGCTTAAATAAAAAACAGAAATTTATGAGCAAGAAATTATATTTTAAAACGGACATGCAAAAATTTTTGATTACGGCATATAATTTTGATACAAACATGCAAAAATATTTAAATTAGAATTCAGACGAATATACACAGTTTTACACATATAGACAATTGAAATAAATTCAGTTTTACACATATAGACAATTAAATTAAATCATGCAAATAATAAATAATTATTTTTTTGTTTGCCACAAACTCACATGCAAAAAGATTTTGGGCTACAAAAAGTGGAAATAATCACTTTTTATCAGGACAAGCTAGCTGATATAGAAATTGGACCACGGTACGGGTTGGACGGCCAGTCATGTAGTCTTTTCTGAGGTATGGAATTGCACCGTATTTGGTCAACAAGCCGACTCCTCTTGTATCTAGATGAGCCCAATCAACGCAAGGCACAAGTTCCTAAAGTAAAAATAATGTAATTAGTGAATGTTTGATATAAATTTACATTGTTTACATGTAAAATAGCCGCAGCTAAACATGATGAAGCAGGACCATAACCATTGTTGCTGAGATCAAAGCATACATTGTCTAAATAGGCAAAATGAAAATGAAAATCACTCTAGTATCTTATATTTGAATTTAACACTAACCCGTTACAATTCTCTTATAAAATTGCCACAGAGGTAAACGCCACATACGGTCTCCTGTTATTGAACCAGCCTTTTGAAATTGCTTCCAAATGTAATGTGAGTTAGAAAAAATGCCTGTTGCACCACCTCCGAGCGATTTCTTGACACCATAACCTAATGTTGCTATATCCACCACCAATCGTGGACGATGGGTAGTTTGACCGTATAGTAAAGGATCAGCCAAAACAAGAACACCTGCTTTATCAACATCCTAAATATAGACAGAAGTATATAATTATATATATAGTTACATAAATTTATTTATTTTTATAAAATATTTATAATACACACTCGAACTGCCATAGATTTGCCGTTAAGCAATTTGATAACGTCTCCAGTTCTAGCAGACATTCCTGAAGGCATGTTTTCGCATAATGGTATAACGGCCGAAAGATTAATAGGCAATGATAGAGCAGCAGCTGCGCGCATGGTGGCGACAACAACAGCTGCTCCAGACATTGAACCACGAAATTCGTCCATACCTTTGCATCGTCTCAGATTTACGCCACCGCTAACATGAAAAAAAATTTTAATACAGATATAGAAATGAAAAAGGTAGTATAACTATATAATTACCTGTTAAATGTTAGTCCTTTACCGACTAGTAACACCGGCTTATCTTCAGGCAAAGTTCCACAGTAGCTTATCTCAACAAACAAAGGTGGTTCGCATGAACCCTTTGCAATAATTAACATTGAATTTATTTGATGTTGCTCGATCCAATCCATTGTTCTTATTTCAACGGTCACACCACAAGGACATAACGCATCAACAGCTGCCTGTGCAAATGAGGTTGGTGTCATCTGATTTGCGGGTGCATCACTTAGACGTCGAGCTAGATTTTGGGCATCGGCTTTAAATGTTCCACGTGTCCAACCGTCCATATCGGGACTATCATATAAATCAAGTCTGGGCATCAAAGTTCTTCTATGTTTCTCTAAATTATCTTGATATTTCCATATAGCTAGTGTACTACCTTCAGCAGCTTGTTCAGGATATTCCATTCCATCTACATATATTTCTGTACACCCTAGATTCTGTAAGCTACGAGCACCAATTCCCGCTGCTACCCTTGCATTTTCCTATTGTTATATAAAAAATATACGAAGAAATATATATTACAAAACAAAACTATAATATCGTATTATACGGTGAAAGTGGTAGATCAGTTCTTACTTTTAACACTTATGCATTCCAGTATGGTTCGATTAGGTTAAAGTTGTGGGCTTATGCTTAAAACCCACTAAAGTTTAATTATGGCCCATAATGAAACCACGGATTAGCGGTGTTTATACGCAGACCAGAAGGACTTCTAAAAAACACGCAGTGGTCTACAAAAAAACAGCACTGAAGGACGCGACTCACCCATTCTAGTGAAAAAATTCTGGTAAAACTAAGGAAAATAATCTAGCCATAGGTTTTTCACATAAGTAAGTTTGTAAAAAATATTACATTTAATTTTTGAAGATTAAATGAAATCAAATTTAAAGCATATAGCTATATAATATGTTCCGCTCCATGTAGCATAAATATGTACAGCTGCGGTTAAGTAACGATGAATCAATTTTAGTAAGTAGTGAAACTAAGTGTTCCAAATTAAATACTAGTTCTTGAATGATTAATGTCTATATATGATTTTCAAATTTACTTTCTTATTCTATATCAGCGAGTTTGGAGAATATAGAGACATAAGATCGAGTTGGGTTTCTAAAATTTTGTCTCATGAGCTATATCTTTATATGTGTTGACTTATATCTATTATTCCAATTAAGATTAGAAATATGCAGAGTACTATCGCAGTACTGGAACCATAGCAGAATCTTAATTTTTTAGTTTAATTTAAATTATCGTTATATATACATACATATATACAGTCAAACTTCCATAACTTGAACTTCCACAAATTACATACAATTACAAAAAAATTCTCTAACTTGAAGTCTCCATAAGTCGAATCTTTACTTTACAAAGTGGTTCCTCGAGTTATGGAAGTTTGACTGTATTTCATATTGTTTAATACGTTTTTACTGTCAAAAAAATAAAACCAAGTTTATGACTTACCATGCCCTCATCAAGCATTTCCAACTCATTAAATCCAATACCTTCTCGTCCAAGACCCACAACAGCCACAGCTTTAAATTCTTGATCGATGTTGGTAAAGACTTGACCCATACCTACTTTCCCTGACAAACAGCATCTATTTTAAATCTACGTTAAGATTGTTGCTCAAAATGATAAATTACGTAACATACTCTTTAACAAGTTCCATTAACTTTCCCTTAATACGTCCGTCGAACTTCTCTCCACTGGTACTTAGTTTCGGACATTCACCCTCCTCCGCTTGATAAAGGCCAACAACAAGTCCTTTCTATAATAATATTTATTTTACGAAACTTTGGGCACACATTAGGTCTGTTCCACGAGCGACTCGTAGTAAAACTCAAGTAAAATTTTCTGGTGGAACACACAGTGTTACTCAAAGTTACTACGAGTAGCTCGTGGAACAGACCTATTATATATTGAACAAACAGTCCTTTTTGTAGAACTTTTAACCGCTAAATATATAATTTATATGTCGTTATATAGATAATATATTGCCTGATGTTACTGACTGTTATCAGCGATTTTTTATAATTTATAATAGATGAAATTAGATTTACCAATTGTCTTTGTCCAGATCCTTTATCATCGGAATAGCTCCTAAAACCAATTCTGCATGATTTCAATTTATGTAAATGGGACATTTTAAAAACTTTTGATTTTGTAAAATTTAGAACACGCGAAACAGCCATTTTTTGAAATTTTGTATATTTTTTTCAAACCGAAACCGAAATACAATTTAATTTTTAGGGTCTAATGGAATTAATTTTTTTTAAATTTAGATTTACAACATTTGAATATTTTTATTTTTTTTAACAATAAAATAAACTACATAAATCAAAGCCTATGTAGTTTATATATAAATTTTTATTATTAAATATTCTCTTCTTTTGCCGAAGGTGTGCATTAATTTTGATTATGTATAGAAAAAAGTTTTAGGAACTTATTGGTTCTTTAAGGTAAAAGCGTATGGGTGCCAAAATGTTTGGTTGTTCGTTAATTTACCGTTGGAAAAATAATCGTATATCATTGTAAATGCGAAGGTTCTATTAACCGAACTCTTATTTGTTCAAAATCCGCTCGAGCTCATAATTGTAAAGTAAGTGAATAATGCCATCGAGTTCTTCTACTTTCTAGTAAGTAAAAAACAGTAAACAGAATACATGGCAGAACTACATTAGTGTTCGTAAAACTGAAATTTTACTATCCTTTCTAATGTTTTAAATACTTTTGAGAAAAACAATATGCAATAATTTATAAGAAAAAAATGTATTTTGTAAATACCATAACAACATTTATAAAATTTACTAAAGAAAAAATAATAATAATTTATGTTAACATATTGAAGCACCAGTCAACTGTAAAATTATCTTAAGTAATTAACTTAATCTAACCACTTTCTATAGGTATTGTCCATGATGTAGTCAACCATATGATCGATTGGATGAATAATAAGTGGGATAGACGCTAAGCCCAAGACAGTGGGCAATATTTTAATGGCAGGTTTGGAAGCTTTGACACTTTTAAGTAAACCTTTACTTGCCCATGTTATTCTGAAAACATATATAGGTCAAGTAAATTATTTGAAAGCTTATTTCTATTGAAAGCCTATTACCTATTGATTGTATAACCCGGTATTACAACGGAAGCCAACATTTGCCATATAAATACATCACCCGTTCTGATAGCTACTGTTTTAGATGAAGCACCTAACTTTTGTGCTTTCATACATTTGTCGTAAGCGTCGGCAAATACATAGCCAATTGAAATTCCGTAGGTAGCTAGCACTGCTGAGCGTGGCACTAAAGGACGAAATGATTCACCCACTTCATTAGCATAGCCTGCGAAAATTTAAGTAAGTTAGCATGTGTTTTCAGCACTCTCAGTGTGATTTACTCACCTAAATAACGTATATATGTATCTCGATAAATATCTTCCTCTTTCATATTTTCAACGGTTAGAAAATTACAATGAATTTATTATTGATTATGTAATAGTCACGTTGTGATGTTAATTAACTAAATAAATTTAAGTATTTATAAATTAATAATTCAACTAACAAATACTTCAGTTTTTTTTCTCTTCTTCTAAAACATGTATTTTTTAATTAAATGAATTTAAAATCTATATTAGGGAAAATGTTTATTTAAACCGGCTACTGATAACAAATCCAAATGAAGTGTTACCAATTTTCACAAAATGGTGGTACCAAGTTCGTCAAAAAATATCTAACACAAAAATAATAAGTCTTGATGAAAGCAAATAATTTTTAATATTTTGTCACATTATTTTCACAACAAATAGATTATAATAAATTTGTAATTGCTTTGAGAGCATAATATTTATTTGTAACATGAATATATGCACAGGCTATCGCATAAACGAAAACTGTCACATCCAGTCCAAAAGTCGCGGTATGTAAATTGCAACAAATAAGATTTGTTAAACGTCAAAAAATACGAATAGTCGAAAGCAGAATATAAAAATTAAATTAAGACGAAATCGCATCATCAACATAGTAGAAAAGGTTGGGATATATTTGCAAGCTTAAATACAATTAATATAATAGTTGCAAACGAATACGTAATTTGAATTAATATTAATTTTTGTAATTTGAAAAATATTAAACGCAGGTGTGTTTCGCACAAAATTTGCGAAAATAAAACAAAAACGAGTATCAAAAAAATTTGTGCGTTTTATATTCTATTTTGATTGTTGTATTAGTCATAACAATTTTATTTGAAGGATTTGTAATTCACAACACAAAATTCGTATAAGAACGAACACATAATTACTCAATATATAAACATATCTATCATTTATTTTTTTTTATATATGTATAAGTGACGTCATATGCAAAAATTTTAAAAAGTGTTTTTATAAATTAAATATATTTTAATTTTTAGTTATTATTGGTTATAATGGCTTCTGGCACAACGTTACAAAAAGCAATAGATTTAGTGACAAAGGCTACAGAAGAGGATCGAAATAAGAATTATGCAGAGGCACTGCGTCTATACGAACATGGTGTGGAGTACTTTCTGCATGCCATTAAATGTAAGTAATATTAACGAAAATACATATAAGTTGTTTAAATTTTATTTATTTATAAGACGAGGCACAGGGCGAGAAGGCGAAAGATTCGATTCGCACAAAATGTTTACAGTATTTAGATAGAGCTGAAAAGCTAAAGGAATACTTAAAAAAGGGAAAGAAAAAACCGGTGAAGGAGGGTGAATCTAATTCGAAGTGAGTATAAAATTCTTAAAGGTCAAACTTGTTTACGTCATAATTTTTATTGCCTTCTACGTAAAGTATTTAGAGTTATTTTCAAAAATTTAACAAAGTAAGCTTAAATTTTTCGCACCTTCGGCGATTTTTCAAAAATTTTGATTTAATTTTTAAATAAAAACGTAGAATTAATTTTAGAAGAAAATGAATTAAAAAGTATTTTTTATTTATATAAAATTGCGCAGGGATGACAAGGATAAGAAAAGTGACAGCGACTCTGACGGTGAAGATCCGGAGAAAAAGAAATTGCAAAGTAAACTTGAAGGTGCAATCGTTATTGAAAAACCGAAAGTTAAATGGTCCGATGTTGCTGGTCTTGATGCAGCAAAAGAAGCACTTAAAGAAGCTGTTATATTACCAATTAAGTTTCCACATCTTTTTACTGGTAAACGTATACCTTGGAAAGGAATTTTATTGTTTGGTCCACCTGGTACCGGTAAATCATATTTAGCGAAAGCTGTGGCAACTGAAGCCAACAACTCGACATTTTTTTCCGTATCCAGTTCAGATTTAATGTCAAAATGGTTAGGAGAATCAGAGAAATTGGTTAAGAATCTCTTTGAGTTAGCTCGACAACATAAACCATCGATTATATTTATTGATGAAATAGATTCTATGTGCTCGGCGAGATCAGATAATGAAAATGATAGTGTACGACGTATTAAAACAGAATTTCTAGTACAAATGCAGGGCGTTGGCAATGACACAGATGGTATACTCGTTTTAGGAGCCACCAATATACCATGGGTGTTGGATTCTGCTATACGTCGACGTTTTGAAAAGCGTATATACATTCCTTTACCGGAACCACATGCGCGTTTAGTTATGTTTAAGATACATTTGGGCAACACTACACATGTGTTGACTGAAGCAGATTTAAAAGAACTGGCTAGTAAAACAGATGGGTAAAAATAAATTAAAGGCAATTATAATAGAAATTAGCTAAATGTAAAATATTTCTTAAATAGGTATTCAGGCGCTGATATATCAATCGTCGTACGTGATGCATTGATGGAGCCAGTACGTAAAGTGCAAACTGCCACACATTTTAAGGTATAGTTTAGTAACACATCAAAAGTTTATTTAAATAAAAAGTTTTTTTTCAATTAAAAATATTAATACAAATACTAACACTTAGTATTTTGTACAAAAAAATTTAAGAACTGAGTGTATTATTTAGTTTTTGTTTATCATTATTATTATATTTCATACTTATATAAAAAAAATTATTTGCTTAATAATGTTTTTATTTATATAGAAAGTAACCGGTCCATCACCTACTAATAAGGATATTATTTGCGATGATTTGTTAGTGCCTTGTTCTCCTGGAGATCCAGGTGCATTTGAAATGGCTTGGATGGATGTACCCGGAGATAAATTATACGAACCACCAGTGACTATGGTATTCATTTATAATATATATGTACTTCTGACGTTATATACTTATTCATATTTGTTATATTATCTTTTAGCGTGATATGTTAAAATCACTGTCACGTACGAAGCCCACAGTCAATGAAGATGACTTAACCAAGTTACGCAAATTTACAGAAGATTTCGGGCAAGAAGGATAAGCAAAAACAAACCCTTACGAAAGAACAACTTAATAGGCATTAATATAAATGAACTCTTAATACAAACTGCAATTGTTGCTTATTATTTAGTAATTTAAACTGTTCTCAACGGATGAATCAAAATTATCTGGTTTCCAGAAAAGAAAACAAGGAAGAAAAATTTATGTAGTATATCTCAGTTTTTAAGAAAATTATTATTGTATTTAATGTGACAATTTTATTTCTGTATAATTTTTATTATTCGTATGTAATCATTTTGCAAGTATATAAGTTAAGAGTATTGATTTTATGTTATAGCGAATGCACATAATTACACACGCAACATCAGAAACAACATTATTTTTATACTCGGCAAAGCAACAGCGTTGAACGAATAAATTGGCTATATAGAAAAATATCGGTACTCCACACTATATATGATCTTAGTAAATACTTCATTTAAATAAAAACTCAAATATATAAAACGTAAATGGTTTTAAATTTTTTTAGTTACAATATATTTATGAATCATAATATTTAGATGGGACTTTATAGATAAGGATATAATAACGTGTGAAATGAGATATCACAGCATTATTGAAATGTATGTACATGTCGAAATTAAGATAAGGATTTACCATACTAGTCATATATCAAAGTACATAATAATTAAATATATGTTCATATTATTAGATTCAAAAGAATTTTTTCAATTTAACATTAATTGTAAGAATAAATATTAAATATCGTACTTTAGAATAGCCTCCAGGAATCAAGATCTTAATCTTCATGCCAATGTTTAATTTTAATTGCTTATAATTTCTTTACAGATCATCGTACTTTAAAATAGCATCCTCAATATTATAAAACTCGATGAATTTCTATAAAATTTTGAAATATATAACAAAGTGAATATAATTGGAAAATGAATTTTACCTGAACCAAAGCGAAAGTTAGTGCACATTCACATTCATTTGTGGTAATATTTTTATTTGATTTTGTTAATGTTACTGCTGGATAACCGTCAGAACCTTGAGAAATGTACACAGTTTTCTCTTTCACCATAAATGCTAACTGAAAAGCATTATCAGCTGTCTTCATAAAATCGCTTGGATCGATAATTAACTTATAGAATGGAATAGAGTCTACACCATGAGTTCGTAAATAGTTGACTATGATTTTGCGTGCTATATTTACTTTTTCTGCTCCTTTTTCGGAACGGTTTAATTTGTCAAATGTTTCAGGTTTTTGTTCTGCAGTCAAAGCATCGCTCCGTCTTTGTCGTTGCCTTGCAACACTCAGTTTTGGATGAGATTCTATGGCACCCAACATTGAGGATGCAACATGTACAGTTCTGGATATTGGTTGTGAAATTTTAAGAAGTTCATTCCAATTGTTATTATTGACAATGTTAAGCTTAAGTATAAGAAAGAAATTATTTACTTTTTAAAAACACAAATCTAAAATTCAGTTACAATGCTATTTGCAAAAGTCTGCTCATTAAATTGCGAAACGTCTTCGAAAATGGTTGAGACCAACTGATGACTTATTGATATTACATGCGCATCTAGTACTAATTCTGAAGAGTGATGCACACGATCTTGATCTTTTCCTTCATTTCTAACACTGTTACATTTCTCAAGAATTGATGTCAATATGCCAAGCGACTCCTTTGTAGGTCTTTGTTTAAGTTTTTCTTCTGTAATTATATTTTCTTTATTAGTTTACATAATTATATTTTTATAACTTACGACAATCTTTGCTCTCCGTGATTAAATCAGTCAATATTTTTTTTCTTTTTAAAGATTGCTCTTCAGATGCTCTTGTGTCCTGACTTAAGACCTCAGAGGACTCCATTATTATACATTAACACCGTATTAACAAATAAATTAATTGTAGCAAAACTCTAGTAATGCAAAATAACTCACATTAAACAAAGTTTTTAAGTTCTTCACGTCAATCCGCCAACAAATAAAATGCGAAATTTGATTTGCCTTGCCAGTGTTGCCATATAGACTCATATGTTAGTTTTTAATGCAAAATATTGATATTGCTGTGCCTACACTTCCAAGCCCATTTGACAGATATAACTCTTTAAATATTTAGCATTTTGTATAGCAATATGTTTCACAGATATTTTAATGCTATTTGTTTTTGTACGAAAAATACATTTATTATTATAAATGAGTCCAATTAGTTGTCTCAAATTAATTAATAGTTACCAGAGACTTTGGTAAATGCAAGTTTATTTAAAAACGATTTATGTATTACAAATTATTGATAATTGTAATTAAAATTTATTTCAATTTTGTAAATGTCATATTTAGAGCAAATTGGAAGGAATCTATATGACACTTTTGCTTCTTGCAAAGTAATTAATTTTAAAACCATTTTAATGCATTCATTCACACTCGTATCAAAACCCGAGTAGAACGGTTTTGCTTCTGGTGTTAAAGATGACCAACCATCAAGAAAGACTGGTGTGTGCTGTGCCCAGCACATTTTTCGAACTTATGAACAAATGTTTTAAGCGAATTTTTATGTAAGTATTCCTGGGTGCCACAGTATGTAGTTGGGAATAGTTGCAATAATTGTGGAACTGCGTTGTAAAATGCACTAATCGATGTGAACGCAAAACCTTTTGAATAATGATTAAAGCATTAGTAGTCGGTATTTTTGTGAAAGTCTTTTTATAATTAACTAATGAGGGTGCTGAAAGGCTGACGAATTCATAAGCACTGAGATATGTTGTCTTCAGTATGTCTACCTAAACTCTATACCTATTCGTCTCTTATTAAGAACAAAATATTTGATCCTTTCTGCTAAATTACAAATTGTTTTCGGTATTGCTGGGGCAGTGGAGGCGTAGTCGTCAACATTAATAGTATCATTGCAAGTGTGCGCGTTCATTCGTCAGTGTTGCATAAAGCATATAGAAACGTTCTATAAGAAGTTGAACCACTCCACTTGCTGAATGGTGGTACGTCTTTGTCTAGACGTGGTTGATGCCCAACAATTGGAAAATCGTTGACTCCAATTGGTGTTTCCAGTGTGTGTTTCAATTAATTAAACGCTTACGTTTTATCATCACCAAGAAATTATGATGTTTCAAGAATTGTTCTCTAATTATTATCCACTAAAGCTTGCTTTTTAGATCAAAGGACACTAAAGTCTTTTAAGTGCAACATAACTAAATCGACTTGTTATAAGCTACATACAACTTCGGGGTTTGTGGAATGGAGAGTTTATTGGAAAATCAACTTTAGGTAAGACCGAGAGGTTAACTCTGGTTTAAGTTAAGTTTAACAATTACTGAACTCCTCTTCAACTGGCTCGTGTCGCACTTACTTTTTTGTGTAGGCTAAATCTGCTGTGTTGGTTAAATTGTGGACTGCTGCACCAAACCATTGATGATTCTGTAGACTGTGTTTTATGCAAGGACCGTTGGTCACTGTTCTCTCGGGTTTGTCTAAGCAATGACACAGCTTGTCCATTACTATCTAACTATCATTTGTGACTGTTTTTGAGCTTCGAATCTGCTGCTGTTTTTGACTGATTGTCAGCCGCATCGCTAGGTTCACACTTGATACCCCAAAATTACTAACATGAGAGAAATATCATAGTATTGGACATCATAAAATCGGATTATATAAAAACAATTTTGACCTACATTAACAAATATATTTCATTAATTTAATTTAGATAAGAATTAAGTCCAATTTTTTTCTTTTGCCAATATTTACATTGGGAAGTCACAGTTAATTGTAATTTGCAAGTTACCGCTTGGGACACCCTGTTTAAGATGATCAATTTTCTCACTGTCGTGACTCGTCGGCGCAGTTGCAAACAAAGCTTTGAGAAGGAAGGTTCGTTCATGTTTTGTGCGGAGTTTTTTCACGAAGTTCACTTTAAAGTTGTGTCAATTTTTCAATTAGCAACTTTTGCTATCAATAACCAATCGAAAGTGTTTTGGCATATTTGTAGAAAAAAGTTTTTAATTTGAAATGTTTAAAATGCACATAAATTGGTGGTTTTTTAATTAATTTTAACCTTGCGATGCACTAAAGCATGGTTTCAGTTCAAAAACTACTATAAATGAGGTGTTTTATTTGAGTTGCTAATTCGTTCAAATAAAATTATTTTTACTAGGTTAAAGACATTAAAACTTTATGTTATGAAAAATTGTTAAATAAATAATAAATATATACATATGAATGTGTAATATCTTTTTATGGTTCAAGAATAATTTAGAAGATAATAAGAAAGATTTATTTTGGGAGAAATATTTTAGTTAAATGTGAAATAGAAACTGAAAGTGAGTATTCATTCAAGATGTTTAATTCAAAATATTTTTTTATTATAATCTCAATATATAGTTGTTAATTTCTTATACGATTTATTGCCATTTTTGTTTTGCCAGTGGAGTTGTGAAATTTGGAATTCGTTTTTGCTTGATTTATGCACTCATAAAAAATGAACCATAAAAACTAAGAAAAACGTGGTTAAAATGAACCAAAACATTGCAGATTGACGTGCTTAAGCAAGTTCGTCTCTTAAGTCTTTCGTTGATGCAAGGCATTTGCGTATAGAAATTTACAATGTTTCTGTTTTCTGTTTTCTGTTTTTTGTTTTTTGTTTTTTCTTTTCTGTTTTGTTTTCATATTAAGTTTAGTGATCCCTACGCTACTCCTAAAAGGTCGCATATGTGTTTCTTTCGTAGGTTGTAACGAAATAGGTTAGTCAATTGCCTTGAGTAAGCCAACTGACTGATTGGTGTCTTATATATATTTATAATCAGTGTCTTAGTCAATAACTTTCGAAATTATCTTCCATAATATGCATTGGTGGTGTGGAAGCCATGCAAATTTTAGACTTACCACCCAATGACATTGACACTATATAAAAAAAAAAATAAATTTTTGTGAAATATTTTAAACAGTTTTTAATAATATAATTAGATAGCAAATCAATGCCAACAGGGATTTAAGCCATTCAATAGAAATATAAACATTTTTATTAATTTAAAAAGAAATATTTTTATTTATTAAATCTATAAAAACAAATATATATATACCTAAAAAAATAAAATCATTGATTATTAAAAAGTTATTTCTTTACGTTAGGACCAATTTAGAAGAGGAAACAGTAACAGAGATGGTAGCATTTAAAGACGTTAAATCCAAAAAAGGGTTTGATGTGATTTTGATAGGTTTCACAATTCTTTACTGACAGTGACGTATTAAACTTTTATACAGAAAGTTTACAATTGATTTTAATTGATAAACTCGGTTCAGTTAAAATGATATTCTTTTGGTTTTCTTAATTTCATTGACCCATTGTGCTACCGTTTAAAAGGATTTAAGGATTTAAGATTATCTGAAACCCTTAACAAACCTCTTATGAAAATGATTTTATAGTTTAGAGAGATTCTCTAAAAATCCTTAATATTTTCAAGGAGTTTAATATTTTAAACCTCTAATAAAAATGTTTTATAGTTGAGAGAGATTCTCTAGAAATCCTTAATAAGTTCAAGGGGTTAATTATTTAAAACCTCTTATAAAAATGGTTTTAAAGTTGAGAGAGATTCTCTACAAATCCTTAATATGTTAAAATATATTAAAAAATGTTACAGTTTTAGTATGTCAAAAACTCTATAGTGAATTTAATCAATTAAAATATGAATTCTTGTCGGTTAAGCAATTTTAACTATTATGGCCCCTAATAGTTAAATGGTATATGACAGTAGTAGTGTGTGTTGGATGAGATGCGGCTCACGTAGGCTTTTAAAAGTGTACCCAATTATAACAAATGTTAGTTATTTTGAGTAATGTGTGGTAACCCTTAGACCGGCTATCTAATTAAATCAACTGAAAGACTAGATAGCGTACCTTTAGCAATCAACTATTATGCTTCGTAATACTTCAATGGTAAATGGTAAACGCTATTAGGTATGGAAGCTCAACATGGTTCACTTAGACTATCAAAGGTAAAACTATGGACTATGGAGACTATACCAGAAAAACTTTGTTTGGCTTTTAGTTGAACCGACAAAACTACCACGTTGCTTTAATAAAATTAGTAATACCTTAAATTTATATGCCTTTTGGCAAGTAGTAGCAGAGCAGATTAGTGACAATTGCCTTTTCATGTTTTGTCTGCTATGTTGACAGTAATTGATCGGAATTCTTAAACTGGTAGAATGCCTAATTATTAGATTATGTGTTATTAGTATAGTGAGTGTATGATACAGTGGGATGTTCTATCGTATTTGCAATCTTTATGGTCTTCATGCTACCTTAATCAATCCTTTTAAAGTATTCTGCTTATATAAACGCAGCACCAGGTATGCTGACATCTATTGAAATGTATTTTATAGCAAGTCGTGTACCCGTCTAGCTAGTACTAGTCACATCTACCTTCGACATGTACAGTCTCTTTGACCCTATACATATTTTGGGTTAACTCATGAGAGCAGTTATGTGTTATTCAAAGGTATACGACAATTTACAGGAAACTTATATGTTGTAAAAATACGGCTTTGAAAATTTTGGTCACTGCGACTGGATATGTGCATATGTATTTCTGTCAAATATTTCATTGTGGAGAAGCTATTTAATTGTGGAATGGAAATCAATAACTTCAATAGCAAAAGAGTTTAGAGTTCATTAACAAAAATGAGCATTTTTCTGTACAAAGTTACTTATAAGCATAATGTATCTAAGTATAAATAATTAATTGTAATTTTAATAATTGTCAAAATTAAAAAGTTCTCTGCTTACATTCCTCAGCATCTTGATGGCACAGTGCTAACCCATTAAAGTAAAAGTAAAGTTTGATTTCAAAAATAGTTAGCTTAAAGTAGAAATTTGTATGAGTAGATAAATAATTATGAATGAATGTATAATCTATGAGATAAAATATGTTTAATTCATTATTTCTTTAAAATTATATTTCTAAAAGATAAGAGGATGAAACTTGTACTTGAACTTGTAAAGTGAAAAGGAAATGACTACAAGTTTATGTACACTCAAGTTTTCACAAAAACATAATATTATAATAAAATTATATTAACACTTTCATATATCTATGTATTAATTATAGAAATAAAGAAAACTATGATTACAAGTATCTCATAATTCTTATAACTTTGAATATAGTCGAATATGTTCAAACAATACAAAGTTCACAATACGTCAAATATTTCTTTGAAGAAACTTTTACCGGATATGGAACGAGTAACCTAAAGACAATGTTGCACCAAAAATAGAAACAAAAATCAACAACACGTTCAGCGGCAGCAATTGTTGCTCATTGCAGGCCAAACACTCGAATTATCAGTCGGAAAAGTAAATTCACTTCAGGTGACTGAAAGCAACTTTTGTTGACGTAACTTCGGCGGCAAAACACTTAACTTTATTTCCAATGCAGTTGAATTTTTTTTTGATTCATAAAATTTATTTTTTTGAGTTTATTTGTTAAATTTTTACATCACCGAAAAACTTCCTTCATAAAACTTTTATTCGTAAAAACCTAATTATTATAAGTAAATTTACTTTCCTTCATTTTGTTACATATACACTAAATCCGGATTAGATAATAAGAAATATACAAATCCTTTATTGGACATGAATTACCGGATGAATGAATCTTTAACTAATGAAAAACTTAACTTTTAATGATTCGTTATTGTTTAGTTAAAACATAGTTTAATATGGTAGTTAGTTGTAGTGGATGGAGAAACGCATCCTCCCCAATTAGCTAAGAAAGCCGTTTTGAGTCCATAAATTCCCATAATAGTGGGTAGTAGAGAGAATGTCAAACTAGAACCAGCCAGAGGCAGTTATAAGGGAAGAATCTGGCTATTGCTAGATAGCTTATTAACTAATTAGATATCGCCAAGTGTTTTGAAGAAGGGGATCTCCAGAAACTTAAGCCTAGTTTTGGCCAAGCCTAGACGTAGACACATCAGGTGTTCTGGCGTCCTTTTTTTCCAGGTATGAGGGACACGCATTGCAGGTTATATTACAGGGTAGGCCAATCCTAGCTCTATGTAAAGACAGATATTAAACTAGATACCTCTGAATTGCTTTTCTTTTAATATGACAGTTATCTAAAATGAATCTTTTCCTTAAGGCTAATAAGTTTTTGAAGTCGTAATGCAATAAAAGTATATTACTTCTCTTAAGAAAAGTAATATGTGTGCACCCTTTATCTGTAAAAGTTATATTCTAAGTTAAGTTATACTGGCGTCGTATGCAGTTTATCATACATGTACCTTAGCTCGATAAACAGTAGTCATAAATTAAGAGTCCACACGTCTGTATCAACATTTAACTGCTAGTTGATTTTTCGGTTTGTTGAATACGTCACATAGCTCCCTTTAGAGTTCCTTGAATCATAGAGATTCATAGCGCACTCTACTTAGCTATCTTCGTATTTTGTTGGCATATTCGACTGCTGGTTGATTATTCAATTTACTGCCACATAGTTCCCTTTATAGTTCGAAGATCGTTTAATAGCGCAGTCTATTTGGTTCTTTATGATATTTTGGTATTTCGTTAGGTTAGGCAAAATTCTTCTGGACTTGCTATTTCCAAAATCTCATTTTTAGTGGTGGGTATTTCAAGCCATTCCTATCTGTAGGTGGTCGCATCACTTTCAATCCTGAGGTACACACTGATGTTACGCTAATAATACAATTATTAACTTGAGGACTCTACGCTGTAATCTCATTTTATTGTATTCCATTCTTGTAGTTAGAGTGATGCTTAGAGCCTAATTTTGTGTCGGAAGCTGGTAGTACGGTTCTTGTCACTTGATCTTTTCACGGAAGACTTGAAAGTCCCCTTACGGCATTTTTCACCAGCAGTTAAAGGACTATTTACCATATTGAGTTGGTTGCGAACTAAAGATCAAGTTCATAAAAGGTATGTTTTAGATATTCACACATACATTGGCATATATAAATAGATAAGGTGTAGGAAAATGATTTTATTTAATATGCTGGTGTCAGTCATAAATCTTTGGATAATTATTCATATATGTGGAGTGGTCAGTTCAGTTATAGTAAGATTTTAAGATTATCTTTTATGACATAATAATATTTTATTCATTCATTAAAATAATTTTCTTTGATTTATTTTTGGAAAGTAAAAGTTTTTGTTATTTGCAAGAAAATTCAAATAATTTTTACAAGTTACTTACACTGCCCTTTCTTTTTCTTGTCAGATACTGGAAAGTAACCCACTAACTGCATCCTTAAAAAGTACATTTTCGGGATGGACCTTGAGTACTGAATGTCAAATTAGCATGAAA